TAACGACTGAGCGCAGATAAAAAAAAAAAAAACCAGGTAGTCCTTATTTTAGCAACCACAACTGGGGCCAGCAATTCAGTCCTTAAGTGAAGCAGTTACTAAGTGACCCACAGCTGTTCTTATGATCTTACTTCAGCTTTCCTTTGCTTTACAGATCTGCAAGGTCATAAATGAGAGGACTGGTTGCAAAGTTATTTTTTCATCACCATTGTAACTGTGAATGGTCGCTAAATGAGGACTACCTGTATACATATAAAAGCATTAAAACCAAAAATAGATCTGCTGAAAGCAATTTAAAAGACTTTGCAGCTTTTCTAGAAACAATGAGCCATTTATCACTCCAAAGGAAAACATATTCCAGAAAACATATTCCACACTTTGGGAGCAATATAAAAGTTTTCTTTTATACCTGATTAACAGGCCTCTATGAGTAAAAGGGCACTATGATAGATTCTTCTTGTGTATTACTTAATGTATTAACAGCCTCATAACGTGGTAATTTTATTTTGTGTGCACCCATAATTATGTGCAGTACAAATTAAAAATACCTCAATAATATTGATACATTACATTGCTAGTAAAACATCCAAAATTCATACAACAATTATAGTATAAGATCACAACTAAAATATATAAACTTAGTAACCTGGCGGGCCCATCACAGTAATAACTATCCTTAAAACCTATTACCTAATGCAGTGTTTCTCAACCACAGAAGCTTTAAGAAGTGTGAACTTCAACTCCCAGAATTCCCCAGCCAGTATGAACTCCCAGAATTCCCCAGCCAGTATGGGGAATTCTCAGAGTTGAAATCTACTCATCTTAAAGTTGCTGAGGTTGAGAAACACTGACCTAATGTATTAGCATAAAAGTAAGGTCGCATTTGGTAACTGACACTACCCTTTGGCACTATCTGAATTCACAGTCAAGTCATTCCAGGTGGTAAATAAATCTTTTATTTACAGAAGTCAGCCGTGAATGCACGTAAACAACACTGAGCACCTACGGAAAGGTATATTGTCAATACACAACAGAAATTAGGCATGTTCAGGTCAGCTGTTGAACAGGCATCTGCTGACTAACAACTCTTCTTAAAGGCCTAATACCCATATACCACCAGTACTCATTAAACCAGTGTTGTCCAAACTTGTTCACGGCTGAATTATTGGATTGTGGTGTTTTGTTTTAAAAAAAAGTTTATTTAAT